CCCCCGCCCCCCGCTTTGGACTCCTGTATTAAAATTAAACTGCCTTGAATTGGACGTCACGCTTGGTGTAAGCACACGCCTTGGAGTTCTCGAGGCTCTTGAGAAGTTTTAAAAGGGCCTTTTTTTGCCCCAACTGTTTTACGACCTGTCTTTTGCATAAATAGCGCAGTATGGAGAAGGACAGTGCCATTTTAGGAAGGGTTTGTCGTTGGAAAAGCGATCTGTTTTTTCCAAGCTGGAAAATAAACCGGCTCTCAGAAATTATTCATGGATGGATACAGAATTGAATTCTGAGGTGGTTGGCGGCAAGGAACCCCCAAATTCGAGTGGGCAAATGGACAAGAGGCTGGGCGAGAGCATGTTAGAGCTCCCCTGGCGTCACCTAATCTCCGTCAGCCGCTCTGTTTTCTCACCGGGGGTTTATAAGCTAGAAATAGGTACAGGGACCGAAAACATCACCTTCCGCTTCGTGGAGCGCCCTCCCGAAGGGCAGAGTTCCCGGAGCCCTATCTCAGGTCAGCGCTGGCGTTCAGGCTGAGCTGTATGCAACTTGGCTTTAAAGGGCTCTTCCCAAGACGCTCGTTTGGCACGCGGGGCCAAAAGGAACATCAGTCGCTTGACGTAGGGCGTCTGTTCATTTATGCTCTGGCAAGGAAATAAATGTTTTCCTGTCGGGCCTGCTGCTAGTTGCCATTCAGGCCGAGCGGAAAATATTTCCTGAGCTGACGGGACCGACGGCGCTGCGGCTGCGGCCCTGGCAGAGCCCGCGGGCTGGAGAGTGACACTCTTCTCCTAGGTACCAGGAGTCGCTCACCTACCTGGTCTACGCCTACCAAAGGAACACCAAGCTGCTGCTGAAGGGAACCAACAGGGGAGTCAACGAGTCGCTGATCGCCCTGTACCGGAGGAAGTGTCTCCTGGTTTGTACCGAGGAGCCGGCGGAGGGCGGCTCCCGCGGCGCGGTTCGCTTGCCGGCTGCTCGGTGTCCCCTTTTGGGAGGGGGGATCCCTGCGTTTTCAGGGGAGGTTTGGGTGCTGCTGAACACGCGCTTGGGTTTTAACTGGGCACTTGCGTCATTAACTCGGTGCTTGCAGTGTTTTCTGTCAGTTCGCTTCCTTCCCCCCCCCGGATTTATTTCTAATATTAATGGCTTTCTCTGAGCAAGAGATGATGTCCTTGTCCACCAGGGGTGAAAAGACAGCCTAAAAATGAGGATTGTGTTTAGTTTACGCTCCCCGGTCACCGAGGGCAGCGTGCCTGTCCCTCCTGTGCCCCTTACCCTGGCTTCTGCCCCGTACCGAGTACCGGCAGCAGCACGGAAAGCGAGGATCATGACCCAAGGAAAGAATGGGCAGCAGGGCTCGGGGACGCTGGGTGAAGGCAGAGCCGCCTC